TATATAAATCCATGGCGCACCCATGCTTTGAATACTGTGTCCAGTTCTGGTTGCCCCATCTCAAAAACATTCTAGTGGAACTGGAAAAGGTTCAGAGAAAGGCAAGAAAGATGATCACAGGTAAGGAACAGTTTCCACATGAGGAGGGACTAAAAAGATTAGGGCTGTTCAACTTAGAAAAGAGACAACTAAGGGGGGATATGAGACAGGTCTATAAAATCGTAAGCGGTATGGAAAAAGTAAATAACACTTCGCTGTTCACCCTGTTTATTTACCTTTTCAAACAATACAAAAACCAGGAGTTACCTGATTAAATTAAGAGGCAGCAGGTTTAATTCAAACGAGAATGTCCTTCTCTCACAAAGCACAACTAACCGGTGGAACTCATTGTCATGACGTATGATGGCCAAAAGTATTACTAGTTTAAAAAAAGACCTACTTATGTTCATGGAGGATAAGTCCATCAGTGACACTTAGCCAAGATGGTGAGTGATCCAACCCATGCTCAGGCAACCCTAACCCTTTGACTAGCAGGGAGTGAAAGACTGATGGATCATTCCATAATTGCCCTGTTCTGTATACTCCTCCTGAAGCTCTGTTGGGAGACAGGATACTGGGCAAAGTTGATGATAGTCTGGCTCAGCATGGCAGCTCTTATGTTCTTACCTCAAGTGAGTTAACACTTTTTTTCCTATTGAAGACAAGGCCTCATGAGCTATAAAGGTAGGTAGAGGGGTGGTACGCCTGTGCACAGGGGTGAAGGAAGCTTTTTAAAAAATAAATAAATAAAGCTTAATTTAATTTGTAATTGTATTGCTAGTGGAAACACCAGGCCAAATTCAGGCCTGGTGCAATCCATTCTCTTCAGTAGAGTTGAGTTTGTTTATAACCAGACTGAATTGTCCCTCAGTGTCTGGGCCAACATCCATCTAAGGCTCTCCTGAAAGATGTTGCAGAATCTTGTTTTCCTCCCATGATTCAGATAGAACTACATAAATCTCGGGTCTTTTCCAACTAATTCTGTTAGGTCTGATGGTGCACAATTTTTCCAGTTTATTTCTCTATATTTTCTATTGCTCTGCAGAGTCTAACTTGAAATGACTGTCTCTGGAATGGCAATCACTTTCTTTGAGGAAGTTTGTCCTTTGTCAGCCCATCTCTACCCCTTTTAAATTAATTCATTATAAGCCTGCCTCTCTCCTCTCCCCCAGTATTCACAGGCAAGTGAGGAAAAGGCTCATAGTTCAGATAGTTGTTAGTAGAGTGTCCTCCGCATTTGTCACGTACCAGTCTTTCTTTGTGTAAAAAGGATGGCATGCTAAGCTAAACTCTCAATCAGTGAGCTGTGAACTTCTGGAATCTCCAGGGACTCCAGAAAAGTGAATACCATGTGTTTGGGAACAATTGATTGTACTAAAGATCCCTTCATATCCCCCAGAACGAATTACCAGCCATCGCTGATGAGATCTTCTGGGGGCAAGCAAGATCTTCTGCTAATTATGTTGACCTCTCTGGTCGTTAATGAATACTTGAATATTCTGGGTGAAGTATCTTTTATTGGAGCAAGTTCTGTTGGTGAAAGAGACGAGCTTTTGAGCTACACAGAGCTGTGTGTAGGAACTCTAATAAATGTATAGATTTATTATAGGGTCAAACAGTGCAAATTTTGAAAGCTGCATTTGGGGAAAAAAGTGTGCCCCTTCCCAATTTAATTACAGACAGGTTTTTAGGAGGGAGCGACTTGAACACTGCAGAGCCCACCAGTAAAGTGCCATGCCTCCTCACTTCAGCTGTGATTTACTCTAAGCAATGGATTGGAAGTGACAGACGCACTAAATAGTTCCATCAGTGGCAGCTCTGGGAGTAGAAATAAAGAGTCCTGCCTCGCTGTCTTTTGGGATAACCACTAGACAGCACTCCTTCTAGTTACTACATATGTGTATAAATAACTTGCATCACCACTTCATTTTGGAAGATGGTAAGATGCTTCCAACCTAAAGATGTGCAGTAGATGAGAGATGGCCAGCAACCAAAGATCACTGGTGCTGCCAGTGCATTCACTACTAGTTGCTGGCGGAGGGAGGAGCCACAACCTACTTCAGTAGTTTAAAAACCAAAAAAAAAAAAAAAAAGTGTGCTCTAAATAGTTTATTTAAAAGTGAAAGTTTATTTTTTAATGTCTTTCTAACTTAAAC